AGGGTTGAATCAGGTGCACATACAGAAGACACGACACACTTCTACAGTCTGACCCTCAGAGCACACCTTGATATGCGAGGCGTTGATGTAGCCCGTGTTGTTCTCCTTGTTGGGCACGAGCTCGACCCGGTTCTCCTCGTAAGGAACGACGTCGCGGAAACGGTTGCGCTCTGCGTTTTCGGGCAGAGTCGCTGTGGTGAGGACGCAGTCGCTCCTCTTCTTGGGCACCTGCTCGTACTCGGTGAAGACCCGCTCTTCTTCTAGCTTCAACTCCAAGGTCTTACACTGAGGAGAAAGAGAACAGGAGGGGAGGGTTGGTCGCTGAATACCAAGCAACACATCATTCAGAGGTTTCTCTTTCAGCCTTTTACTGGTTTACATTCCACCATACCTAAGAGACTATTGAGACCAGCAGAATCCAGCCGCACACGATTCTAATCTCTCAGCATCACTCAAAGCTGAACGCTGACTTCAGTATCAAAGACCTCAAAGCATTTATACCCCGTCAACACAGCTGTGAAAGAGCAGAACCGGCAGCAGCGGGGGCATCGGTCCTGGTGGGGGTACGTGTTTATTAGGCCAGTCATGTTTGGGAGGGCACAGTCTTCTTTCTCTGCGGCTCGCTCGCTCTCTCCCGGGTCACATTCTTAACATACCAGCAGGCCCAGAGGCGATAAGCACCGCCATGCCACGCGTTCCACAGCCCACTTAGGGTTTGCCCCCGTTAGCTTAGCAACAGTCGGGACAAAGGCCGGGTTTCACACCTCCGCGCTCAAAGAGCGAGCAAACGGACAGCAAGAGGGAAGTGGAATTCATTAAATCAGTGTTGTTATCGGAGAGTTTCACTGTGACAACCGTCAGGGAAACGTTTAGATGAGATGTAGAGAAGTAAAATGTGGGATTGAAAGTTTCTTCTTGAATAAACGAAACTCTTAATCCAGAATAAAAGCATGAATGAATGGATGTAAAGTAATTTTCTGCTTTTTTGTATATTTTTTAGCAATTGTGAGCTAAAAAGAAGCTTTAGAAATAAAAAAAAAAA